GTAGGGGAAGACGAAAATGAGTATTCTAATAGAGAGAAATAAAATAATTTTATAAAAATTTTAAGATAACATTTATAAAATAAGAGGTTGATGAATCTAATTGGGGAAATTAAAGCAGGGGAGGGAGAGGAGGAGTGCTAAGCAGGTATAGTTTGCAATTTCAAAAAGTACTGTGAGGACCAGCGTCATCTAGAGCAGCGGTTCTCAACCTGTGGGTCGCGACCCCTTTGGGGGGTCAAACGACCCTTTCACAGGGGTCGCCTAAGACCATAGGAAAACACATATATATAATTACATATTGTTTTTGTGATTAAGCACTATGCTTTAATTATGTTCAATTTGTAGCAATGAAAATGCATCCTGCATATCAGATATTTACATTACGATTCATAACAGTAGCAACATTACAGTTATGAAGTAGCAAAAAAAATAATTTTATGGTTGGAGGTCACCACAACATGAGGAACTGTATTAAAGGGTCGCAGCATTAGGAAGGTTGAGAACCACTGATCTAGAGGCTGACTTTTGAGCAGGGACGAGAAGGTGTTGAGGGAGCCAGCTCATGGATGGGGAAGGGCGTTCCAAGCAGAAGATGCAGTAAGCACAGGGGCCTGAACAGAAGGAGGGCGTGAACTGGGGAGAGTAGGAGGAGATTAGGTCAGAGGCCTGAGGGTAGAATGGAGCAACTCAGATTACTTAGGACTATGTCATGATCCTGCTTAGGTTTTAATGGCCTCTCTCTGGCTGCTGTTTTGAGAAAATGCTACAGTGGGGCCAGGGCAAAAGCGAGAGAATGTCTTACAAGGGTGCTTTCAGTACTCAGGAGGGATGATAGTGCTGGGGACCAGAGGGCAGATTGGAGGTGATGAGGTCTGGTCAGATTCTGGATGTTTCTAAAGGTAGAGTTGATAGGATTTGCTGACTGGGAAAGGATGAAGGAAGTGAGAAGAGGAGGGGAAGGTGGGGAGTGTTATTTACTGAGGTGGGGAAGACAGAAGAGGAGGAGATTGGGGGCAAAGTCAGGAGTTTGGTTTTGGACAAACTAAGTTAAGGATTTGTTAGACATCTCAGTGGAGTCACTGAGTAGGCAGTGGGATGTATGAATCGGGAGTTCAGGATTAGGCATGGGCTAGAGATCTATATTTGAGCGTCACTGAGGAAGGAAATGCTATTTTAAACCACAAGACTGGATGGAGATGAGAAGAGGACCCAGGAATGAGCCTCAGGACACTCCAATGTGAGGAGGAGGGGAGGCAGGGGACAGCTAGCGAAGGAGCCCCAGAGGAGTAGCCAGAAATCCCGGGAGAATCTGGTGGCCCAGAAGCCAAGAGCGGGAAGCCCTGGAGGATAGGCAGTATCAGCAGTGGAGTCCTCCTGAGACATGGAGTCCGATGAGCTTCCGGGGTTTAGCAGAGCTGTCGTATTATAAGGACCTTGAGAAGACTGAATTTAGTGTAGCCACGAGCCCGATCTGAGCAAAATGAAGAAGAAAATGGAGGGGAGGATTTAGGACAACTTCTGAGAAGTTTGCTTTGACCTGTGAGCCCTGTACCATGAAGTCACATTCAGTGCAAAGAATGTTCCCTTCATTTTGTTTTTTCTATGGCAGGTGGCTTGTTGTCCCCCAATTCCAGTCCTGGGTTACAGGTAGAATTTGGGATGTGTGGGCAGATACCTTTGTGGTTTCCCAGGTCTTGTTTTTGAAGTTTGGAGGCCTTTCCTCACCATGGCTGCAGCAAGGGGGACTGTTAGTGAGAGACCTAGGCGTACGGTCAAGTCCCAATGTAAAGGAATTAAAAAATGAGTTCTCAGGAAACCATCCACATTAGAGGAAATAGGGTGGCTGCGTGGAAACCATCATCATGTCTCTATGTCCTAAAACTGCTAGTAAGATTTACAGATCAGCAGACACACAGCGTGATTGTTAAAATAATTTCCAACTCAGGATTTATTTTTGTTAACTAGTATTTATTTATTGGTATATTTATTATTATTTTTGTTAATCCTTACCCAAGGATATTTTTCCATTGATTTTTAGAGAGAGTGGAAAGGAGAGGAAGAGATAGAGAGAAACATTGATGTGAGAGAGAGACATCAGTTGGTTGCCTCCAGCATGCATCCTGACCAGGCCAGGGAACCTGCAATCAAGGTATGTGCCTTTGACTGGATTCGAACCTGGGACCCTTCAGTCCATGGGCCGACACTCTATCCACTGAGCCAAACCGGCTAGGGCTTAGTTAACTAATATTTATGTAGTGTTTCATACGTGTCAAACATTATCCTAAGTATTTTACATGTGTGAACTGAATGCTCATGGCAACGTCATGAGGTAGGTACTACTATTACCCCATTTTCCAGATGAGGAAACTAAGCAGAGAGTTCAAGCAGTATGCCCAGCGACATTTGGCTGTTACTAGTGGAACCAAGACTGGCCAGTTGGCCTTTGGAGTCCACATGCTTAACACACACTCTGCAACTACTTTTGGTTGTTTGGACTTTTTACGCATCTCATCTTTGTCCTGTCTCCTGCTTTGACCGCCTCCTCGTTCTTTGAGTGCCTTCACAAGAACATAGACAAGAAAAAGAAAAGAAGGGGTTAATCAATGGTTCTGCTCTTGAGCGAGAGAGGATATTTTTGGTAAAGAGTAAAGTTTGTTATTTACTGGTAGTGTGAATGGACTCTGCTGCCTTCCCTGCTTCACTTACAAACATAATCGTTTGCTTGGCTATGTGTCTTGAGCAATTACCTGCCCAATTAAGGAGAAAACTTAACTTTTTCAGTATATGATATTCACATGCAGCATGAGATAGAAGAAACTTCTATAAGCCTAGGTGGTGAGAGTAGGACTCTTTGTGATGTGGTCACGGTCACGAGCTTTGGTTTCATAGGTAACTTTGTCTGGACCATAAGGAAGAGTTTAAAATAAAGCATCTGTGTGGTTTTGGTAGGTGCGGTATTGGAGAAAGGAAACACTGGAATAAAAAGTGAAATTGCCCAGTGGGACAAGAGAAGTCGTGACATTGAGATGCCACAACATCAGGGAATTGGTTGATGAGGGGAAGACAGTTTGCTGTTGACTTGGGGAAGTTCCTTAGTGGTGAGACTGAGGGATCTGCTGGAAGACGGGAAGTCTGGGGACCAGGGAAGTGAAACTGAAGAGCTAGGTGGTCTGAGGTTTTGAGCTGATTTCTTTGGGTAACAGAAGATTTGTTTTGGGTTTGAACCCCAACTCTGTCATTTTCTACAAAGGTGACCTGAAGCACGTTGTTCACCTTTTTTGGTTAAATTTTCTCATCTGACGTGGACCAGGTAATCTTTAGGTTCTTTCAATGTTATAAAATTCAACGATCCCATTATAACCAAAGGTCACCAAAGCTGATGCAGAGTTCTGTGGATTGACTGTGTATCAAGCACAGAGTCTTCTTCCATGAGAGCATCTACCATAGCGTCCGCTCAGGGGGGAAGCCGCTCAGTTGCTCTGTCTGATGCATGAAAAAATTCAGTTGCCTGAGACAAGTGTCTCCCATGTGATAGTATATCAGAAAAATCAACAGTGCTGGCGTCTACCATTATGGTTGTCACTGGTGCTGAGTATATGGAAGTTAATAACTTAATGCTTCTTTCTATAATGATTACCCGATTTAAATAGCTTCATAGTAAAATACTAAACCTTTCTATTTACTCCTTGCTATGTAAGTTGTAAGAAAGGTTAATTTAAGATTAAATTTTCTTATAAACACACCTTTTAAGTATTAGAAAGTCAATCAATGCCTATTAACTGTTTGTTAAACAGCATCTAAGAGGCAAAAGGTTGCATGAATTCAGTGAGCTGAATCTCATTTCAGAGAAGGGGGAAGGGATGGACAGGCCTATAGAATTTGGGGGAGACTTCTTAGAGCGCTTGGGATGTGATCTGGAAAAATAAATGGAGTTTGTATGGGCAGGAAGGAAAAACATTCTAAGTAGGAGAAACAGTATAATCAAAAGTGTGACGGTAGAAACATCTAAAGCTTTTGCAGTACCACAAGGAAAGCCCTTAAGAGCACAGATGCATGTTGTGGTACAAGGAGAAATAGTTCAGCTGTTAGCTGGGCAAGTTTAGTTGGCCATCCTTTTGGAAGGAGAGAGGTAGACCAGAAGACTTGTGTGTTTCTCTCCAGCTTTATGATTCTGGTTGGACACAAAGGCATGCAGAGCTGGATAGGGAGCAGATTCTTTCCTCATTGAGGGAGGTGCAAGCGTGAGGATGGTGCTGTGAATTTTAAATCTGTGCATGATTGGAAAGGCATCTAGTCATCGTGTTCCCATTTCAGCAGCCCTGGGGCAGAATGCTTGCTCACTTCTGGGTTATGAAGTGTGATGGGCTCTTTACATGAAAGAAGTTGTTTATTGAATGTTCTCATCGCAAAGGCACTGGGGACATAGGATCTTACTTTCCACAGGGCACCAAGGCCCTGCCCAAGAGAGAGTCCTGTGTTTTGAAATTCTGCTTGTCAGCATGCTAATCATCTGTAGCAACCAAACACACAAGGAACCTCCCGTGGAAAGCTCTCCTGTACCATCAGCACAGCACCAAGTGAACTGACAAATGGGTGGTTTGTTTCCCAGAAAATGGGCTGGACTTGCTGCTATTTTGCAATGACTTGAAATGCAAAAGAAAAGAAAAGCTGAAGGGACTCGTGAATTACACTTTTGAAATCTTCCATGAACCTTCCTGTCTCTTAGGGTGGTGTTTTGCAAACTGTAGGTTGTGAACCACTGTCAAGTAATGAAATCAGTTTGGAGATTGTAACTGACACTGTTTTACAGTGTGTGTGTGTGTGTGTGTGTGTGTGTGTGTGTGTGATGGATTATGGTATAAAATGTATTTCTTACTATGGGTTATGGTCAAGAACGTCTAAA